TTTCTCCTCCCAGTGCGAGTCGAGCTTGAGCCTGCCCACTTCCCCTGAGCATCTGCCCCAGGCTCCTCCATCGCCCACCATGAATGGGGACCTGAGCCTTTCTCAGGCTCTGGGCGGACTGCGCATCGCCAATCCTGACGATGCTGCTGAGGCTATTAACTCATCTTCGACTTCTCCTCCTGGGCCCGACTCGACGGCTCAGAATACCTCCATCTCCGCTTCAACTTCAACATCCGCCCTCCCCTCTACGCCTCAACCGACAACCACATCCACCACGCCCTCATCCTACGATGCAATCCGCCTCGACCCTATAGATGCCGGTGTTGGAACCTCACTTACCGATCCTCGTCTTACTCCATCCGCTCAACCTTCCGACCCTGTCTCCGATCCAAGCCCCTCCGTAAATCATCCCCAGCCATCTCCTCAAACGGAGCCGTCGAGGTCCTCCGTTTACGGCATGGCCAGTGTGCAAGAACCTGGCTCAAACCCCTCATATCCTGTGAGAGAGTCCAGCCGACGAGACCCCCATCGCTTCAACAACTCAAGCCGACCAGTATCGGGTTTAATGTCTGGGGGCAGCCCATTGCCTCCCCGAAGGAGCTCAAGAGGTATGGGAGTTGGCTATGCATCTGGTCCTGGCGGGCCACAGCAGAACCAGCCTTACGCAGGTGACGCGCCGGTCCCAAATAGCAGAGAGGACTGGCAGGACCGTGGAGCGGCCGTCGGGGTCCGCAGAGAGGTTGATGCAAATGGACGTACCGTTGTCCGCCAGGTCAAAAAGGGCGTCCGCGACTTTTCCTTCGGGCGAGTTCTTGGCGAGGGCTCCTATAGTACAGTCTACATGGCGACAGATCGCCAAACTCTCAAAGAATACGCCGTGAAGGTACTCGAAAAGAGACATATCATCAAGGAGAAGAAGATCAAATATGTCAACATCGAGAAGAACACACTAAACCGACTTACTGAGCACCCCGGAATTGTCCGGCTATACTATACATTTCAGGACGAGACATCGCTCTACTACGTCCTTGATTTGTGCAATGGCGGAGAGCTCTTGGGTGTCTTGAAGAAGACAGGCACCTTCGATGTTGAATGTACCAGGTTCTATGGTGCACAAATTCTCGACGCCATTGACTACATGCATTCTCGGGGTGTCATCCACCGAGATCTGAAACCCGAAAACGTTTTGTTGGACGACCAGATGCACGTCAAAATTACCGACTTTGGAACTGCTAAACTGCTCAAAGATCCACGCGAAGACCCTTCAGCCGCATCAGCCAGCGGTGCGCCGGATCCTGGAAAAGACGATGACAGTCGTGCAGCATCATTTGTCGGTACCGCTGAATATGTGAGCCCCGAGCTTCTCACACACAAGAACGCCTGTAAGGCTAGCGACCTGTGGGCTTTCGGCTGTATTGTGTACCAGCTTTTGGCTGGCCGACCTCCTTTCAAGGGAGGCAGTGAGTATCTCACATTTCAGAAGATTGTAAATCTCGAATACGAATTCCCGCCTGGCTTTCCACCAGCAGCCAGAGACCTTGTGGAGCGGTGCTTGGTCCTCGAACCAGCCAGACGTCTCACGGTCGAGCACATTAAAAACCACGAATTCTTCGATGGACATCCATTCGGAAAAGGACTCTGGAGGACCAAGGCACCCCGTCTCCGCCCATATATACCACCCCCCCAAGAACCTCAAGTTATTCAGCTCAACGGCTTTTCCACCGCGTCTAACACCAGGCCTCAACAGCAATCCCAAGCCACTCCATCCAATGGGAATAATCGACCATCGAGGATAATAACGGAACTTCCCCCCCCGACACAGCTTGACATTGAATGGTCGCCCGTTTTGACTAAGAATAACGAGCGCATCCTCAAGTTGGGCGATCTCATGGTGGTCTCGACGCCTTTACCTTCAAGTCCTCACGGAAAGGAACCAGGAGAAGGACATAAGAAGTTGTCTCGTTTCTTTATCGGCAGCACTACTAAGAAGCGTCAGCGCCTGGTAATGATCACATCTAGCGGCCGAATTGTCCTTGCTCCGGCTGGTGGAGAGGAGAAAAGAGCGAAGCAGGAGCTGTCTCTGCTTGGCTCAGATTGCACCTGGAAGACCCAAGTGGACGCAAAGGGTCAAACGGTGTGGTGTGTCAACACAGTAAGTGAATCTTGATTCGGGTTGTGTCTTTTAGTCAACGTACTGACATCTCTCTTCAGGGCGGCCACCACTACACATTTGAAGAGGCCAAGTCCTCATCCACACCCCAAGAAGGTGGCTCCGCTGCCGCTGACTGGGTTGAATGTCTCGAGAGGGCAAGGGACATGGCATTGTCTCAGAACATGACCACCTCTTATGGTGGTGATAGCGGATTCGCCGACATGGCGTCTCAAGTTTCAAGTCCATCAAGTACGTTAGGGGGGCCAGGGAACTACTCAGATGGTTTCGGGCTCAGTGACCGACAGGGACGAAACCATCTGAGTAAGAATCAGGGGAACAATGAAGATCCTGCGCCAAAACGCAACCGATTCAGCAAGAGACAATCGAGGAACGGGCTAGGATCTGCATTCTAAGGGTCCTGAACGAAGAAATGGTGCGAACAAACTCGGATCTCGACGAGTTTCAGATCTTACAGTCGAAGACATTTGTCATTTTTGCCTCTCATCGATCACATTCAGTACGTTCATGGCATTGAGAGCGCGGCGTCTTAATTGCGGAGTTTTATTCATCTGAGCGGACTGGCAATGCATTATTTCGGGGTGCATTTTGTTTTCAGCGTTGTGGAAGAAGGATGGCTAGAGCCGCCACATGGTGATTGTTTGATGGGCTCCCAAACGCAAGGTTTCTCGATTTGGAGAAGCGCAATCCGGACCACCAGATAGGTTCACGCCATTGTCGGACAACTATTTTCGAGCGTCCTATATGTTCTCGTGTTGAGTTTTGGGAAAAACAGCCGCAAAGGTGCCGGAGGCTGGGGTCAAGACTGCAGGTGCAGTAGATTCAAGTATGCTCGGGACAGGAGAAGTGGTGATGTGCTTGGTGTGAGCAAGGACGGGCTCAAAGCTCTGGCACTGGATCAACTCCATCCGGTTTTGACAGTCATGGCCGCCACACTGTATTTCTTGAGATCCTATTCAAAAGGCAAGGCTTGTCAGAAATGTAGGGGCTATAGATAGGAACTATAGTAGGGCGACGAGAGTTGGGCACTCGTTGTTCTGAGGCTTTACTGATATATGAAGAACCAATCCATCAAGACAGGAATGGTATTCGGTTTTTGATCAAGCCCAGATCGCCCTTTCTAGAGCTGTGGAACTGGATCGTTGCCAGTGCCATTCAGAGACATCAGCATTTCTTAGATATAAATCATATCCTATTACCTTGGTACACACAAAATAGATGAATGACCTATAGTCAATGGTATCGTTGAAGTTGGAAGTAGTCACGTGACTGGATGAGTAATAAAGTTGGCTAGGTAAGGTGCTGACTGGCGGCTACCGTTTTCTCGCGACGCAGCAATGCGATGCGACGCGACACGATCAACCTGTAATCCCACCAGCCGACGCCTACCGAACCCCAACACAAGACTTTGTTTTTCTCGGTAAAATGCAGCCTCAATATCGCGCTTATGCGCAGCAGGTTCCGCAACGCTCGCCTCATGCGACAAACCAGCGACGTGGTGGAATTGGTACGTTTAAAACCCATCCCCATCCTTTGCGCAACCCGACCACGTTCATCAATCATCTGCTAACATGGACGCCTTCTCAGGACCCATGATGTCCTCAGGGCCTCACCCTTCGGTTCCCCTCACCCAGGCACAGATTGCTCAGCAACAACAGGTTCAGGCTCACGCCAGTGAGCTAGCTAAGCGACGTAGTCGAAAGCCTACAGATAAAAACATTCCCGATGGAGTTGAGGACAGCATTATTGATCCAGACGGTGTTCAACGGTACAAAGAACTGCGAGATGTCGAGCGTCGACTTGATGCTACTATCACACGAAAGCGTCTAGACATTGTCGACTATACCAGCCGTGGATCCAAGGTGTGTTCGACAACGATACGGTTTTTTTTTTTTTTTTTTTGGGAGAAACCGACTAACCCATGGTTCAGAGATACAAAACCTTGCGAGTTTGGATCACCAACACGGTCGAGGATCAAATCTGGCAGAGCAATGGGCTGAACTCTGATTCGTTTGACTTTACCCCTAGCATGGAGGCTTCGTACCGAGTCAAGATTGAAGGTCGTCTACTCGACGATGAAGACGAGGAGACCGAGCAGCCCAAAGGACAGGAATCAACCACAGAAGAAGGAAAGGAGACAGACGATTCAGCACAGAAATCCAAAGCACAAGAGAAACCCCGATTCTCGCACTTCTTTAAGTCTTTGACAGTCGAGTTCGACCGATCTCGCTTCCGAACCGGCGCCGAACAGACAGTGGAATGGAAGAAGCCAGATGCTCCGGCCCGGAATCAACCCGCTGCCAACCTTCCAGCAGCAGCAGATTTCGATGAATTCACCTTCAAGAGAAATGGAGACGAAAACCAAAACATCACCATCAACCTGTTCCGTCAGGAGACACCCGAGAGATACCAACTGACCCCCGAGCTTGCCGAAGTGGTCGATATGAAAGATGCTACCCATCAAGAGGCCGTCATGGCTCTCTGGGAGTACATCAAGTTACTTGGGCTACAGGAAGATGAGGAGAAGCGCAATTTCCGGTGCAATGAGCCTCTCAAGAAGGTCAGTTTATGCATATGCCTATATTGATATTGACTTGGCTCTGACGATTACTACAGGTTATAAGGCAAGGCGACATCGGACACATCCCTTTGCTCAACGAGTATGTCCAGCAACACCTGCGACCTCTGGAGCCAATTCGCTTGCCATACACCATCCGAGTTGACCAGGAGTTTCACAAGGATCCCCAGCCTACCATCTACGACATCCAGGTTCCCGTCGACGATCCCCTACGTGATACTCTTTTGCCTATGCTCAACAACCCGCAGTACATTGCAATGCTCAAGGACGTGACGGGGCTTGACGACCAGCTCGCCAAGGTGGTTCAAGCGATCGCCGTGTCGAAGGCCAAGCATTCCTTCTTCCAGTCTCTTGGCAAGGATCCTACCAACTTTATCAAGAACTGGCTAAGTTCTCAGAAGAGAGACCTCGAGGTCATTATGGGAGAAGCGCCCAGAGGAGGCGGAGAGCATGCATCGGGTGACGAGTGGCGCCGTGGTGGAAAAGATAGCGTCTGGGCTACTCAAAACGCGCGAGAGAGTGTCAACGTATTGCTCTCAAAGCAGCAACGATGAGCATCCACCTGGAAACTGTCAACACGCCAGGACGGCACTTGTTGACAAACCAATTGGAGTTATAGAGTTTGTGTCATGTTTAATTGGCCACAATCAGGGAGCAAGGGGGGCGTTGGGAGCGTCTTTTTGTATAATAATATCATGAACCAAGATCGGTGAAACGACATGCATACCCTGGTTGCGATCAATGCTACCGCCGGGGGCATTCAACACAAGTACTGTAAGGATATGAAAAAAGGACAAAACTGCATATCATGCTATGCCATTGTGATGAATAGAAGCTGTGCCCATTGGCCTCATGAATCGCTGTCGGTTGTAAGAAAAGCATTGAAAACGCCGCACGAGTGCAAAATGGTATAGTGAGAACATATTTGTCCAGAGTAAATAGGCAATGCGGCATGAATACGTTTACCGCTGGGGAGTAACGGGAATTGAGGGCATGCCGCGGATTTGCTTGATTAAAAATTCTCTCTCATCGATGAACTGCTCATCATCTGTCCGATCCTCGAGGAAGTGAGAGAGGAAAGTGAGAAGCTTATCGCGATTCATGAGGAGAATCTTCTGGACGGCAATTGACTTGTGCGGGTTTGCGACAAAGACCTTGAATACGTGGAAGCCCTCGTACTGAACCATTTTCCTATCATCGCGTAGCAGGTTCATGCATATCTTGAGATGCTCCCCGCGATCAACATAGGCAGTCATGACGTTATAGTTGGAGCGATCAAGCAAGATCTCACCGAGAAGCTTTATGGACTGACGCTTGGTCACATAACTGTTGGATTGCACCAAGATGTTGTTGTACTTGTCGAAGAAGAGTTCAAAGTTTGCGTTCAAGTATCTTGGTACAAGGTCCTTGTGGCGTGTCAGGAGTTCCTACAGTACGTATCAGCAAAAGGAAGCAACTCAGGTACCACTGCCCAGTCTCACTCGAAAAGTGGTGAAAGCATCTGCTGCCACCTCAAAGGAGCTCTTATCAACCCAATCGAAGAATCTCCAGAACACGCCCCTACCACTTTGGGGTCGGTCACGGTCAATGGCATTCAGACCCTTGGAACTCGAGCCTGGCTCGTCCCCGTCGTCGTATAGAATGATTGCAGCGGCGGCCTCATTCTTGAGTAGCTCTCGTAGAACTGAACCTGCCGGCGTAGCGCTCTCCTTGTGATCATACCCTCGACATAGCTCAACTAGGACCTGGGGTCGATTACAGACAACGTATGATAGTGCGAGAGGGTCGCTTTTGGGGGCGGCGGTGGCGGGGCGGAAGCGGAAGACGTAGGAGAATATGACTTGAGTATCTTTGCGTGACTCGAATGGAAGACGGAATAGATTGACGGCGAGGAGGTGGAGGAGGTCTTCGTCGATGAGACCAGTCACAAGCTGCAAGATCTGTTCTGGAGAGGTATCGGCCTCTTGCAAGATGTCTTAGCCATACAGTCAGGGGTTCGTGAGCAAAGGCGAAGCAGCGTACCGGGAGTTCCCTGAAGGATAGTCTTCATCTGGCTCAAGACTCGGGCAAGCTCTTCGGCCTTTTAGAGTCAGAGTCAGTGTTTGATCTTGAATCGAGGTGAGGTGATATGATTGCTACCTTGGAAGGGCCCTGTGGCCCCTCGAGCTTCAAGACATGCTCGCGGGCCTGCTTGGGGAGATCGGCAACTGTGCGTGTGCGAGCTCTTCCAAACAGGAACGACATGGTTCGAGGTTGTAATGTGATTGTTGAAGGAGGAATACAAAAAGGTACCACGGCGACACAAGAACCGATCACGGTTCAGAGTGTTGTTTGTGTAAAGTGAGTTAGTTGCTGGTAATGAATGGTACCTATGGTAGGTATGCAACTGATGGTCTTGCGACGTCAGGTTTGTTATCGATAGTGTTTTGGTTTCAGAACCTACCTACCGAATAGCGGCGAGTAGGTACCTAGCTCCCTTGAGAAACACAGGAACCGAGGTGGCTATTCACCTCAACTATGATCAGTCGAAGCGGAAGGATGAGATGTCCGTTTGCGACATGTATGCTAAAGTCATGCCATGCCAGAGTGGGTTGATCAATATAAACAAACACTTCATGAAACAACTTAGCTCGATCCTATTTGCTTTGGTTTGCTTTGCTTTGTCTGGCGGCCAGCAATCACGCACGCGCCAACAGGCCCTGGTCGTTTTAGTGCTGGAGCGCTGTGAACTTGGTTGGCTTTGGAGTGACACAATCGCTAATCTCAATCCATCCATGATGAGCTCAGACCCAACCTACCTATGATTAGGTACCTAGTGCCATTGCTGAAGAGAGAAATTGGTTGTAACGCATCAAATCTTACAGATGCTTTGTAAATCGGTCTAGAAGCTACCAAGATGCCATTTGAGGCCATGGGTACATCCATCATCTGCCGGTGTCGGTCTTATGCCATCTCTTGATGGGTTGGTAAGTGTTATGCTGGTCTAGAAAATCTTTCGAAACAAGGTACCTACCCAAGTTAGAGTATTCGAGGTAGTTTATATGTAAATCAATTCTAATCCGAACTATAAGCATTCGTTGTTTGCGTTTATAAGCGGGCAACTAAGGTATCGACAAAGAGTGCTTGCGATTAACTTATGATAGGTATCGAACCCTTGAACCCCTCCATGGAACTAAGAAGGTAGACGCGGGGCACAAATTTGACCCCACCTCCGGTTCCGTCCCGTCGCTCTTTGCTTGACTCACCCACCATCGCGAGCGGCTGAGTGAGCTGCCGTTTTTTCTTAAACTTGCCCCTCCATCAACGGTTTGTCGCAGATACCTAAGGTTACCAGGTAGTGACACTTTCAAGGCATCGCCGGCGAGTCAAACATTTCTTTCTTGTCCGTTCCCCTAGCTACCTATCTACTTAAATACGACTACGCCTCTTCTATAATCACTCATCCCGCATCGTTCCAAACTTGTCCACTAACCCCTCCTCCTACAGGCGAACCATCACGATCATGTCGATCGACTTCCCGAAAGAAGAGGAGGCCATCATCCAAAGATGGCGGGAGATCGATGCCTTCCTGCGACAGGTTGAACTGTCCGAAGGACGCCCTCGATATACCTTCTATGACGGCCCTCCTTTTGCGACCGGTCTGCCTCACTACGGCCATCTTTTGGCTTCCACCATCAAGGATGTCATCCCTCGTTACTGGTCCATGAAGGGCTACCACGTCGAGAGACGTTTTGGCTGGGATACACACGGCCTGCCCATCGAGCATGAGATTGACAAGAAGCTGGGTATTTCTGGAAAGGCTGCCGTCATGGAACTCGGCATCGCCAAGTACAACGAGGAGTGTCGATCCATTGTCATGCGATATGCCGGCGAATGGCGACACACCATTGAGCGTTTGGGACGTTGGATTGATTTCGACAACGATTACAAGGTAAAGAAACATACAGTCCACCTACACCCCCCAACCAGATAGCTAACCGAGCTCCTTCAGACTATGGACCCCAAGTTCATGGAGTCTGAATGGTGGGTTTTCAAGCAACTGTTCGACAAGGACCAGGTCTACCAAGGACACCGAGTTATGCCCTACTCTACTGTTCTCACCACTGCCCTGAGCAATTTCGAGGCCAACCAGAACTACCAAGATGTCACTGATCCTGCAGTTGTCGTCACATTCCCCCTTGTCGACGATCCCGAAGTCAACCTACTTGCCTGGACCACCACCCCTTGGACACTGCCATCGCATCTTGGCCTCGCTGCTCACCCCGACTTCGAGTATGTCAAGATTCTGGATGAGAAGACAGGAAAGACCTTTATCCTTCTCGAGAAGCTCCTCGGTACCTTATACAAGGATCCCAAGAAGGCTAAATTCAAGAAGCTCGGAACAGTTCTCGGTAAGGATATGCTGGGATGGAAATACACCCCCCCTTTCGATTACTTCTACGAGGAGTTCAAGGACATTGCCTTCAGGGTGTTGAACGCAACCTACGTTACAGACGACAGTGGTGTGGGTATCGTCCACCAGGCACCGGCGTTTGGTGAGGATGATTACAATGTTGCAGCTGCTGCAGGTATCATCACCGAGAAGCGACCACCTCCTGACCCCGTCAACGACACCGGTCACTTCACTGATCGGGTCTCCGATTTCAAGGGCCTGCATGTGAAGGAGGCTGATAAGCACATCATCAAACACCTTAAGAACGCCGGTCGCATCGCCAACGAGTCTCAACTCAAGCACTCGTACCCCATGTGCCCTCGCTCCGATACTCCTCTTATCTATAGAGCCGTTCCCTCTTGGTTCATCCGCATTCCAAACATCGTCCCCGACATGCTGAAGAACATCGAGGGTTCTCACTGGGTTCCATCATTTGTCAAGGAGAAGCGGTTCGCCAGTTGGATTGCCAACGCTCGTGATTGGAACGTGAGCCGAAACCGATACTGGGGTACCCCCATCCCTCTCTGGGTCAGCGATGATCTGGAGGAGAGAGTGTGCATTGGAAGTGTTCAAGAGCTTCGTGAACTGAGTGGATATGACGGTGATCTGTCTGATCTCCACCGCGACAAGGTTGATCATATCACTATTCCCAGCAAGATGGGCAAGGGTCAGCTGAAGCGTATCGAGGAAGTCTTTGACTGCTGGTTCGAGTCTGGAAGTATGCCTTATGCCAGCCAACACTACCCCTTCGAGAATGTTGATAAGTTCAACCAGTCGTTCCCCGGAGACTTCATCGCCGAGGGTCTGGATCAAACCCGTGGGTGGTTCTACACGCTGACAGTGCTGGGAACTCACCTGTTTGGCAAGTCGCCGTTCCAGAACTGTGTTGTCAACGGCATTGTGCTTGCGGAGGATGGCAAGAAGATGTCGAAGCGTCTCAAAAACTATCCCGATCCTTCTATCGTTATGTCCAAATACGGTTCCGATGCTCTCCGACTCTACCTCATCAACTCTCCTGTCGTGCGAGCCGAGCCCCTCCGCTTCAAGGAGTCTGGCGTCAAGGAGGTCGTCCAGAAGGTCCTTTTGCCGCTGTGGAACAGCTACAAATTCTTTGAGGGCCAAGTTGCTCTGCTCAAGAAGGCAGAGGGCGTGGACTTCGTTTGGGATCCCAAGTTGGAGTCAAGCAACACCAATGTCATGGACCGCTGGGTTCTGGCAGTTTGCCAAAGCCTTCTTCAGTTCGTGAACAAGGAGATGGCCTCATACCGTTTATACACTGTCGTACCCAGACTCCTTGGTCTCATTGACAGCACAACAAACTGGTACATTCGATTCAACCGAAAGCGACTCAAGGGAGAGAATGGTCTTGACGATACCCTCCATGCCCTAAACACCCTTTTTGAGGTTCTGTTCACTTTGTGCCGTGGACTGGCACCTTTTACCCCTTTCCTTACTGACAACATCTACCTCAAGCTTCTACCTCACATTCCTAAGGAGCTGCAAAGTGCAGATCCCCGAAGCGTGCACTTCCTGCCATTCCCCGATGTCCGCGAAGAGCTGTTCGATGAGGAGGTGGAGCGACGTGTTGGTCGCATGCAGCGTGTCATTGAACTGGCTCGTGTATCGCGTGAACGCCGCACCATTGGTCTCAAGCAGCCTCTCAAAACACTGGTGGTCATTCACTCCGATCCTCAATATCTTGAGGATGTCAAGTCCCTTGAGAAGTATATCAGCGAAGAGTTGAATGTGCGAGACCTCGTGCTCTCGAGCGACGAAGCCAAGTACAACGTTCAATACAGCGTCACTGCCGACTGGCCTGTTCTCGGAAAGAAGCTCAAGAAGGATATGGCCCGTGTAAAGAAGGGGCTGCCTCTTCTTACGAGCGATCAGGTCCAGGGATACGTCCGTGACAAAGAAATCTTTGTTGATGGCATTCGTCTGGAAGAGGGTGATCTTGTTGTGCGCAGAGGTATCAAGGAGGACGAGTCTTCCAAGAACTTGGAGATCAACACTGATAGCGATGTGCTCACCATTCTGGACACTGAGATTCACCCTGAGCTGGCAGCTGAGGGTCTAGGACGTGAGATCATCAACCGTGTACAGAGACTTCGAAAGAAGGCAGGTCTTGTGCCAACAGACGACATCAAGATGGAGTACCGTGTCATTGCAGACCCTGAAGATATTGGCTTGTCTGGTGCCTTCAAGTCCCAGAATCCAGTGTTTGAGAAGGTCTTGCGCCGACCACTAGAAGAGACTGGAGCGGAACCACAGACTGAGGGTCTTATTGCAGAGGAGGAGCAAGAGGTCCAACAGGCAACGTTTTTGTTGAGATTACTCAAGCTGTAAATCTTGAAGAAATAAAATTGAAGTTTATGTAGCAGATGAAAGTATTAAACAAAAGGTTCGATCAAAAGTGTATGATTTGTGGCTACATGAGTGCATCATGTTTTCTTGGATGCAGCCTTGAGCGGCAGAGTCAGACTTGTTGTCGTTAAAAGCGAATAGATAGGAGGAGGACACACTAAATAACAATCTTTGAGCCTCATAAACTCTTTAGCACACTTATCCTTGTGGACAGCGTTATAGTCGGCAACGATACACTTGCCGTATGCCGTAGCCTGCCAGACTTTTAGTGATTTGAAGCAGGTATGACAAGCAAGACAAGAAAATTCAGACCTCGACAGAGCATTGTGAGACAGCTTTAGCAAACTTTTGAATGGGACGAGTTCTTTGTTGGTTCATGGTGACTGTGTGAGAGATGGAGATAGATGATTGAAGACAATGAATGGCCAGTAGGTTCTGAAAATAGGTACATAGTATTGCTCATACAGTGTCAATGAGTTATCGAACAGCACAGTACCGGCTATCAAGCCCCATGAGGCGCGTGCGCACCAGCCACCCAATTTACACGTCCGAGCGAGCTGTTGGCCGTTGGCATCGCGACCGCGCAAATTCGCGTGCGTTTTCTGTCGGGTTGGAACTCAGATTGCGCTTTGTTTGGATACGACCCCCTCGTCGAATTACGGTACCTAGTGTAGTGCAATTCTTGAAGCGCCCCTAGCATCACCTTTGTCGATTCCCATTCCTGCATTCTTATAATCCTATTTACTAAAGCGCAATACTCAAAGTCAACTGAAGTTTGACTGCTCGCAACGCTGTGTGTTTGTGCAGCTCTCTAACTAGATAAATAAACAGACAGACAGACGACAGCACAGAACTGCTCGCGCTTGATTAGGTACACACCGACTTCTTGACTATGGGTCAATGACGGATGTGGGCAGCTCGCCAATAATCAGTTATCTGTCCATGTCCTCCAACGTCTCTCGCCAGGGCTCAAATGCGACTTCACCAGCAGCATCGATGTCACCGGCTGCGCAGAGAGCGGCCTCACCGTCTGACGATGGCCGCTCGAGCAATGCCAGTCGGGCACCCTCTAGCCAGGACCCATACTACTCCAACGAAGGTCCGTATCATTCTTGCGATGCTTCTTCGACCTGGAACTGACCGACCCGCCCAGACATCGCTGCGCTGCACGCGGTAGTCGTCGCTGCTCAGGAATTGCTCGATTCAGCGCCTGAACCGAAACCTCTCCCTGCTGCTGCGCTCTTCAAGGCGTACGACGTCGTGCTCCCGACCTATGGAATTGACCCCGACTCAGATCACCACTTGTCGACTTTCGTCTTCCGCGTCGGCGGTGAGCGAGGCGATGGCAACTTGCTTGACAAGTTCCAAGCTATCCTCAGTCGAATGGGAATCGTCTTGGAGTTTGGCGATAATACTACTGCGTCACCGCGAACTTCAGCCTCTACATCTCCCGCGGTATCTTCATCAAGTCGCCAGAGCCATGCCATCTCGCGCCAGCAAATAACTCCACAAAAAGGCCTACAAAACGGCCATGCCACGACTGCATCGACAGTCCCACAATCACCAGCTTCACCTTCACCTTCACTGTCACCGTCACCGTCACCATCAGTCTCTCCGCCAGAATCGCAACCTCACCCCCAGGATGGATTGGAATTTTCCGAGACCGACGATGACGACGAGGAGGAGGAGGGTGCATATGAGGAAATGCGAAAGGCGGTTGTCTCTTCAGCCATGAACCGCTGGCGCTCTCTGGTTGCGAGTCGTCGAGCACAGCCTGCGCAGCGGATTCCTTCTTTTCCGAGCATTCCCGAAGAAGCTTCAGCCGATGTGAGGAACTTTGAAGCCCAACCTTTTGAAGATCGACCACCAGTGACCGGGCATCAAACAACGACGTCTCCACACGTCAATGGACTCGAGCCACACACTCAAACTTCGCTCAAAGACCCCACAGATATACATACAAGGCCACTTTCTGCTCAGTCATTTATGCATCGCCCCCTTTCTGTTCTAAGTAATGCTATACGATCTACGACTTCTCTAATTCAAGAAAATACGCCGCAAGAGGAGCACTTTGACGAGCCATCACCTCACGATGATGATGATGTATTACCTCACAGCCCAGTTGAAGAGCCTCCACAGCAGCTCCAGGAGCATGAAGAGCCCCAAGAGCCTGAAGAACTCGACGAACCTGAAGCAGAACCCTCTCAACATACACAGATCCAAAATCCATCAGAAGTCCATTCTCCAATCACAGCGGCTCGTTCTCACACTATAACTAACAACGAAGGCACAATTGTTCATCATCCTGTATCCCAAGAGCGCACTAGAAATACAATACCTCAACACGAACAATCCGCTGAGGAAGGTCCTTTAACACCCGAGCAGCAGATTGATTCGGAAAAGGAGCAGAGCAGGCTCCTCAAACAAGCCGCCAGAGCTCGCGAAATCTACCTCGCAAGCAAGGTCTTCAACCATTGGGCTGATCGCACTGCACGCCGTCTCGAACGAGACGCCGTTGCAAGACGACATATGATACGATTTCGTTATTTCCGATCATGGAGCCAAGCCCCTGCACTCCGTGAACCTACCACTGACCACATGAGGGCAGCCGTGGTTGTAAAGAAGTGGCAACGAATTGTCGCCCAAGAGAAAAGTCTACAGGCGACTGCGATAGAAGCTGCTCTCGCTTACGAGCAGAGGAGAGTCCAGCGAGTCCTTGATATATGGTCTTGTCATCGACTCAAACACCTCGGCCGTCAAATGACAGCCTCGCGCAGTAGGACACAAGCAATGTCAAAGTGGCTGTCACAGGCTTCACATGACAAGGCTCTCATTCAAGCAATAAAGACCCAGACGACTTTGCGACTCCAAGTGGATGCCATTCACAAATGGCAGGGCATGTCAGAAAATGAAAGCCAACTATACAACACTGCCAGGAGAATTGGAGATATTCAGCACTCCTTCACATATCTTCGGGAATGGTGGGATCAAGCTGAGGTCAGTCGAAGGGCGGTCGGGTACCGCCAGCGATTGATGATCGAGAAGGCAAACCTTGCTTTCGATGAGTGGAACTTGAGGGCAAGAGCCCAGGCATTCCAGTGGAGGCGCGAGTATCTTCAAGTGACGCGAGTGTTCGACCGATGGTTCCAATGCGCCGAGCAGGATGCGGACATGGGCCGAAGAGTAGAAGAGTATTATGAGGGGCAAGCGAAGTCCAACGTTATAAGGACTTTCAGGCAATTTAATCGTGATTCGTTGCACAGGTCACGTCTGGGAGATCGAGCCCAACTCTATCTCGGAGCTACTAAGTTGTTGCAAGTCTTTGATCGAGCGATCAAGAGCCGTAGGGATCAAGACAAGCAGCAGGTCAAAAGGTATTTGATGGCTAGGTATACCCAAGTCTCTTCTGCTCGAAAGAAACGCAATTTCTTTGCCGCTATCGATCGATGGAGGGTATTGGCGACGGAGGATCGGGCACGAAGCGACTTGATACAAGAGTTGCGAACCCATAAAGACACCCAAAAGGTTATTCTAATTACTGGTACATGGAAACGCCAAGCGGACATTGACCAAAGGCGCATGCAAGAAGCCAAACTGCAACATGCAGAGGGATGGTTGGAAGCTTGGAAAGTGTACACCGTCGACCTTGAGCAGCGGGATACAGATGCCTGGCAGCTTTGGGCAGCCGACAAGCAACGGCAGTCCCTCAAGTCCTGGTCGATTGCATCGTTACAACAAAGTGGACAGGGTCACACTGCAATTGAAGTTCAAAGGAAGCACGAACGCGAAAGGCGTAACCGCGTGCTGCAATATTGGCGTCAACGGGACGATAGAATTCGATCCATGGCTCCTGGAACTCGCCCACAGCCACAATCTGTGCCGGCTGCATGGCCACGCGGAAGTTGGCGAGCACTGTCTGGGAGGCGGTCGCTGGCCAGTCGCAATGATAGGGGCTTTGATTACTCCAGTACACCGCTCGAGACACCGACCAGATGGACTGGGCAGCCATTCTCCATGTCGACTATGATGCCACCAGGATCCATGGCTCCGCTTCGAGAGGCGGACGAGAATGATGAAGCGTTTTCGCTGGCTGGCGATGAAGATGATGAGCTACCAGCCTCGCCATCTTTGAGGCCTGCTTCGCGAGGACCTGGCCAGTTCTCCGGTCTGCCATCAACGACACCGATGGCACCAGTCCCATCACATTTGGAGCGAGATACTCAGGGTCGTGACCCCGAGTTTGACCAGGACTTGGCAAGCACAGCAGGTCCCGGCCGGCATGAACCCTCACGGCGGCCAGTAGCTGCGAGATCATTTGGGATCAGACCTCCAAATGGGCGCACAATTGGGCCTTTGCCTTCCTCGCCGGAGCCAAACTCCCCAGCCATCATCAGTAAATCCGTGGGCGCGAGGCCATCTGCGACGCGATTTGGACTTCCTCGACAGACCACTACAACTAAGTTTACGCCAGCCACAAGATCTGTGCGTATTCAATCACCGAGAACACTATCGGCTACACCACAATCTCGGTCACCAAGGGTTCAGCTGCGTGGCCATGTGAGTACAAACCAATAACCCTGTCGATCAGGATGGCTATTAGTATATACATCAGGGAGGAACATGTGTGAGACTGGCTTTGGCGGTTTGCAAGAGTTGGGTTTGGCTATGGATGATCTGGATGTGTTTTTCTGACGTTGGATGACTTGTTTGACAAAAGGATACCCCTTTCTGTTTGTGTTATTGTTGTATATGAATGCATAGCGACAACCCGTCGCAGGCGTTGGATAGCCAATAGTTTATGAAACTTGCTGATCTTGAAAAATTCATCACTTGGCATGAACTTGGCCGAGTAAGTAGAGGTGAATGTAATGTGCATCCGGATAGATGTGGCTGTCTTTTTGTTATTAGCAGTGAAGATAAACAATATTGTTGTGAACGCCGAGCCATGATGCTCTACACCATTACATACATGGTTGTTGATATACGCGGAAGTTGTAATTATATAACATGGATGAGTTTAAACACCAACACTCTTCCAATGACCAAATCATATTGAGCTTCTGTAACTTCTGCAATTGAAGATGTCTAGGGTGACATGGCATTTATCGTCATGGGTTCTTGTGCATGAGCCCGGGGTGTGGGGTTCGCTCTTGGG